GCGGAACCAAAAAAAAAAAAAAAACTATCACGCGAGGAAGAAACCCTTGGAAGGATATGTATATTTCAGCTTCAAATTACAAGCTTCCCAAAAGGGTTTTTCTACCAACTTTTTATTTTTCTTTGTCTTGTAATTGGTCAAAGTTAGCTTTGTCACAGAACAAAGATACCAAAATAAATGCAGCGAGGACCATTTCCACACTGATCAGGAAAACGGATAGACTTGTTTCAATTCGATTCGCACCGCCTAAAACATAAAGCGCTAAAATATTGATCGCCACGCGATACAAGACGCACCCTTTGTTGAAAGCTATGCTCACTGCTTGACCATTGGAGATATACAACACTGCGTGCGCTGCATTCAGACTAAAGTAAAAACTCAGGAAAACTCCTGAATAACCTAAGAAAGGATCCAAGCTGAGTGCGTTACTTAAACGGGTTACGTCTTTCAAGTACAAACTTGCTGAAAACTGCACAATACCTAACAAGAGAACCGCGATAGACGAACAAGGACCGACAGGAAACCGTAACAGAAGACCGAAGATCTCCTTGAAAAACAAACCAAAGGTTGCATCCTCTTCGGTGGAAATCCAAACCAAAAAAATACCAACAGCTAAGGAATTGTCGAGGACTGCAAAGAAGGTGATGCAATACACTGGAGCTGTTCCCTTCAAATACAGGACTATTACAGACATGTTGACAAGGATCAGTCTAGTGAGTACAGTTATGTTGATATGGCCATGTCCTGGGACTTTATGCACAGATCTTGAAGCTATCACCAGCAAATACCCCTCGACAGTAAGAGCGAGCCCTCCAAGCTGAATGTAGCTGGCGCTTCGGCCAACAAGCTCGACATTGTACAAAAAACCCCACAAGGAAGGTACTAAGAGCATAGATGCACCCGCAAGGATGTAGAGTAAGGATGACCATTGCGTGAAGCGTTCCGTTTTGGTCAGCGACCTGGACCTTTCAAAAGATAGCACTGATTTGAGCCAGGCGGTCGACATTGTTGAGCAGTTGCTTTCTAAAAAGAAGGGTTAACATGAATTTTGACAGTCCCTCCTTCATTAAGTTTCTATTGTCAACTCTGACTCTGCGAAATCGTGGGGAAACGTGGGAAACTGATCGATCAAGCCTTCAACGATTATTTCTTACTTTCGGTGTTTATAAGAAAATGGTCGGTAGATTTTAGGACTTTAAATTCGTAGCTAAACTGAGCATCTTTAAATCATGGTTAGGGACCAGACATTATTCATCACCCGAGGAGAGGGGGGAGGGGGCGTAGGGTTTTGAGGGTCACTTTGTTTTCGTGGGAACTGAAGGGGGGGGGTAAGTTGTAACTAACTGAGAATAAAGAGGGGACTATAGAATACTTCAGAGGCCAAGGGGAGGGGGTCAGGTTCAACCAAAATACTCCGACCCCTTCCCCCTCAGGCGATAAATAATGGCTGGTCCCTTATTTTGCGTGAATCACTAATGATGCTATTGTCTGTGCTTATGTTGGCCAGAGACAAAAGTAATTAAGGGAAATACGTAATTATTCCTCTTTAAAATGATCGCTCTAGGTAGCGTAATAATATGCATAGACGACGTTTTGTGTGGGCGAAACACGCTAAGATCTTTATTTATCTTAAGCTCCAAGTTGCAAAATTTAATTTCCTTTGCTAACAAACAGTTCAATGTGGGCGGCGAAAGAAGTAGTCAGGAAACGGACATTTACAAGAATTAAAGGAAACACGAAGGAGTTTAGATATCATGTACACGAACGACACAATAATAACGGAAATTCTGAAAGAATTTTTATTGTCTTTAAGAGCTCTTGGGTGTTGTTGTTTTTTTTTTTAAAAATAGCTAAAACAAAGCTCTCGACAATGGATCAATACGAAGTAGATATGCTCAATTCAATTGCAAATTTGAAACGGAGTAGAAGTATCACAGAGCACGCTATTTCCTCTCAATGTATGGCTCAGTTGTCTCTTTACCTTTCCAAAAAGCGAACAAATTAGAATTAAAACTTTGTAAACTGCCAGAAACATCAGAAACACAAGCCAATATAGTCTACTTCTTAGAATTAAAAGATTTTGAATAAATTAAAACGTTTTAGACTTCATGCATCAATGGAAAGTCACTGTGCTTTACCACCGAAGGGAAATGCAGGACTGTTTAGCATCAAGTCGCGACCATCTAAGTGAAAACCTTTTCCAGAAATTGAGCAGAATCGTGAACCCGCATAAGTTCCGTTTAACACTCCCAAGTTCAGTAAAACAACCATAGCAAATACTGAAAGAAAGATCACGCACACACAGGGCTAGAAGCGTCCGAATGATTTTCAGCGACAAAGAGATATAAGGTCGTAGAAGTAGCAAGTAGGATAAATATTGTAAGAAATATACAACTTTTTTTAGAGACATGTTTCGGCATGCTTATGCCATCTTCAATCAATGAGTAACTGAACGTGAGTAATTATATAACAGACAAGTAGATGAATAAAATATTTACAGTATGATGTAATACAAAAGCGGGTACTAATTACAGCGTGACAACAAACATGGTATGAACTAAAATGCTAGAAAAGTGTTATAATGCTGTAATTGTTTGTTAAGTTCAGGTTTGATCTTATTTATATAAAAAGCTTCTTTGAGTTTTAAATCAATTGAGTTGTTGGCAGAATCCAGAGTACTAAAGCAAGAAAGGGAGTATTTGTTCTTACAAGAARGAGATGTGTTAAAATGCTTAAAAATATGCGAGTTTTTATCGCTTTCCGTGTGCTCCTTTATCCTAGTGGAGAAGTGGCGACTAGTTTATCATATTCATGACCTATAGTCCAGCTATTATCGACCAAAAAAAGTTCGAATTGTTAAAATTGGTGATACAAGCACGAAACTGTCACAGATTGTTAGGGGCTCTAAGGGAATTATTTTCTGATCTAGGGCCGATCCAAATTAAGCTCTGGAGTCCAGATCTGCGAGCAGTTGAAAAATGATCCTCACCTTTTCCAGTTACTGCGGGTACTTCACAAACAGACTTTTTGCTCCCACTGGCACCTTTCACACAACAACAGGATTGATTGACTTCTGGATCCCGTGTGTAAAATGTTTCAATGATAATTTATGCTGCAGAAATATTCACACGTACTCAAAATAGCTAACGACGTTTAGAAAGGTGACCACCACAGCAGAAAGACACTGGGACCAACTGTGAATCGGTGCCTCGATTTCAGACTTCAAATGTTCAAACATCTCGATCTCTGTGACTTTCTTAAAACTAGCTTTATTTCATGACAGACGCTCGTGCAACCGGTACCGGACAGTTCGAAACCACCGGCAGCGAGAGGCTTCTGCAATTAGGTGCAGAAGTCGAGGGCTTGTACAGCCAAAGCATCCTTATTTTCCAAAAATATCCCTTATCGTAATAATTTTTTACATGGTTTACGCCGTCTGTAATGTATCAAATATAAAAGTTTACCCCGAATCTAAAACTGTAGCACTTTGAATTTCACTTTTCAATTAAAAATGTGAGGAAAGAGAATTCGGATTTATATTTTTCAACAGTTTGAGTGACTGACTTGATGCAGAAGTTACGCTTAATTTTTAATGCTTTCTAAAAATGTTGAACCCCTTGGCACTGATACCCCTTCTGTCTTTCGACTGAGCGTACCTTTGGCTCTCCACACAACATTTTACAAAAAATCTGCAATAATCAGGGAGACTGAAATAAATAATGTTCCTATTTCTTTAATCAGCATTACTTCCAAATAAGTTAAGACCAACAATCTTGTAACTGGTCGGGGAGCAAGTCTCGTTCTCGGAAAATCATCGTGGACTAACTAATTTTCCGTTCTTTCTATACAATTTGAAAGCAGCAAAAACCTTCCAAAAGTTCACCAAAGGTTTTCGGCGTAAGAGCACGTGATTGAGAACCAAGTTATCCATATCTGAGGGTTTGTTTATTCTAATTCCTAATCAAGATATTGTTCGTAGGCCAGTCCGTACCATTTAACACTGTGAATCAGTCAATTTTTGCCTAAGGGTTTATTGTTCTGTATAAGTTTCTTAGAGTGCTCTCTGATGATCATTTTGAGCCCTAGTGAGTTTCACTTAAATTCGTCCACAAACGTCACTGGCTCCCCAACTGTTCCTTTGACCATGACAATATTCCAAATTTTCAATATTCTTGAAATAAAATACATTTCCGTAAATTCGAAGCAATGAAATTTCCCAGACAGTTTAAAAAGATACAAAAAAAATAACGTTAAGCTTTCTACGCTAGGCTGGGAAAATGTTTCCTCGTTAAATAACAGTTAACAATTATGCACATTTCCTTGCTGGGGGAAAATTGAAAAAAAATAATTTCAACTTTTATACAGGCGTCACTTATGACAACCAATTATAAATATATATTCTTAAAATACCTAAATATAACATAAAATTATTCACGCAAAGGAAAGAACATTTAAAAATAACTTGAAATGCCTGATTAGACGAAGACATCCAAAGATAACTCTCTGAAGTTTGCCACTCTACAACATACCCACGGGGAATTCAACCTACTCGTAAAGGCTATTTTTAAATATCACCCCCTTAGAATATCTATAATTTTAAACTAAACTAACTTTAGGAGAACTTGGTTTCCTCTAACTCTTGAAGTAGCAAATGGTTACTTTGTAAAATCATCTAATAACGTCTATTGTGAATTATATTTATCAAATTTTTTTATTTGCCACCATTTAGTTTAAAATGGGACCCAAATTAAACAAGGCGAGGTTTGCGGACAAACACTGATATACTTAAAGCGAAGTATGCACCCGCGTTTTAAATAATATTTGAGTATATTTTGGTTATTCTATGCCAATATGCAAGCAAACGAACTTTCCTCGTCTCGCTGCCTAATGAAATTCCTGATTGGCCTTGCAACAATAACCAACATAAAGCCGTCAGTTTCGAACGACAACATATTCGTTCTCAGTCCCATGGGCAAGGAAATAAGGTATCAGTGAGAATTTCTTTTTCGCTCACGTTCCACCACAACTACAATCACGTGATACCAAATCAGCCTTGCTGAGGCACAAGGTATGCACAGGGAAGAGGTCCAAAACGACGACAATCAAAGTTAGGTGATTAAAATCGCTTTGCTGCAGAGAGTAAATGGTACCGTGTGTTCAGACATGCCTGAGTTTTTACCACGTGATTGTAAACAACAAAAAGACTCTTTTCGAGTAACTCACGTGATTTACATTTGTACCGGGTAAACAAACAGGTTCATCAATTGATTAAGAGATACATTCCTCAGTTTGAACCTGGTTCAGTACATCCTCACTGGTCGAGATCAAGCTGCTGATAAATGTGTGATATCGTCTCCACGGAAGCATCCACAAGGAACTGACACTTCATATAGGTCTCCATGAAATCGTCTGAGCTGCAACTTTGTTGGATTTGGTTTCGCGCAATCATTGCCACTGTATGTGCTCGCTCCGTTTCTAGCCAATCACCGATGGCGTTGTCTATGCTGTCATCGTCAAGATCTTTCGGTCCCCATAGCAACACCGGAAGCATTTCAATGGCTTCCATAGCAGACAGACGCTCCTGAGGGTGACGTTGTAACAACTGACGAGCAATCGCGCCCAGTCCCCTGGAATATCGCGAATTGAAGGGAACTGGAGGAAGATCAGTTTGGTCATAACTCTGCTTGACAAGGCTCGGGTTAGCAGCAAAAGGATTGTGTCTGTGAAGGAACTCGTAAATTAAACAACCAGCCGCAAAAGTGTCGCAGTCTTCATAATTCAACTGCTCTGAGTCTTTTGGCGCATTTACAATTTCTGGCGGAAGATGTTCAGGGTTGCCGCCAAAATGGCTCGACGTGCTCTTGCTTGAAATAAAGGGATTGGGTTGAGTGCTTCTGGGTTGCTTGAGCGCACACTGGAAATTGGTAATTACCACGAGCTCGCCCTCCAGGATGTAAAGATTCTCGGCTTTCAAGTCGCGATGAACAACGGCGTCTTTGTGTAAATGATTCAGCGCACTCAAAAGCTGAAGAATTAGCAGACATATCTTCTTCTCGTAGGTTTCTGGATCGGTTTTGTGTTCGTCAATGGTCCGACTGAGAAAGTCAGCGACAGTTTCACAAGGAATTTGATCTGTGATGCTCACCAGTGTCTCGTATGAGTCACAGTCGGGCTGCCCAATTGCATCACCAGGCACGTGATCAATAAAATGCGTCAGCACACGAGATATATTCACGTGATATGGCAGGGCCTCGCATACACGCATATCCTGCTGGTTAGGTGAAGGTTCCGAAGAGCGAGTTCTGGAATGCAGCGGGTATTCCACCTGATTAAAATGGGATGCAACAAAAAGTCAAAACAAACAACAATACTGTGCTCTTAATTACAAAACCACCCGACAGAAGGAAATATGGTTATAGACCAAAGATTCTCAATAACCGGTGCAAGATTTAAAAGAAAATGCATGCGCACCTATTTTTTTTTTTTACTACACTGACCTTGGCAAGCAACTTCTTGTTTCCTTCCCAATACACGGCACATTTCACGGGCAGTAGAACTGCTCCTGGACATTGCACGCTCAGGGCATCACCACAAAGCTCGTAGTCTGACCACCGTGTGTCAGACAAGTTCAGTTCTGGGTCAGGCAGCAATTCCCTTCGCCAAGAATGAATCACTTCCTCCAGCGTTTGCAACTGCAGTTTCAAAATCTTATTGTAGCGCTTCTCTAGAACATTTGTAGTCATCGACTGACTTCGCATACGTAAAGCTGGAGGTTTCTGTCTGTCCAAAACTTGTGTTCTTAGGCTTTGGGATCGCTCTCGCATTGGCTGTTCCGCTGGCTTTGTATTTGGTGGTCTAGAAGGAAGTCTGGGGCGAGATTTGGAATCACCTTTGTCCCCTGACCCATTGACGAGGGTTGGGGAAACTACCCGTACAGGACGCTTCGTGAGGTCTGGTTTGCCAACCGCAGAAGTAGTTGAGCCATCAGAATGTTCACTTGGGAAATGAACCTGTCGGGATCTAGGAATGGCTGGCAGTGGTCCAAGTAATTCTTGCTCCACTCTTGATAGGGCCTCAGCGAGGATTTCAGCATCAGTCAAATTGGCTAAAGCTGTTTCTACTTTGATTGTAAACTCATCTTCATTGGGTTGTAGATAAGTTGGTTCTTCCTCGTGCTGGTTTGTACCTTTATCTGGCGTCGGCTCGTTGTGCTGCCATGGCTTGACGACTTTCGCAACGCGAGGAGGCTTTTTCGGACGCTCTAAGGTGTCTCCTCCCTTTGACAGAGGAAAGTTCTGGTAGCCAATCCCTGGCTTAGTCTGCATAATGGGAGACCCTTTCTTATTGTATTTTTCCTCGACGGCTGATGATTCCACAGCGGAGGGAGGAGTAGCAGAAGAAGCATATTCAGCTGTAGCAGGCGAGAGTACCGAGTCAGGGGAACTAGTAAAAGGTTCTACGGACTGGATCTCATTTGGTTCTAATAACCTGCTCTTCTCGGTTTGTAGAGGCTTAACTTCGGAAAAGGTCCGACGCCGCACTGCCTCTTTCTGCTCCAAAAAGCCTGGCACCTCATCATTCACTGCTATAGGAGCACTAATCTCTATGGTCTTACTGTGCCTGTGTTTCTTTTTACCTCCCAGTTTCTTCATGCTTGCAAAAGCTCTTCTGATCGTCGATTTCGGAGAAGACAGTTTTGCGGGGCTTGTATCCGTGTCGGCGTCATGTGGTCCTGTGAAGCTAGATGATCGGGTTGCTTTAGACTTGGACTGGGATTTTGACTGAGATGGACTGGGGCTTGGTGATGAGACTGGCGGACTTTCTTGGTGAGATGGACTGGGACCTGGAGATGACACTTGCTGAGATTTCGTTTGAGAAGTACTGGGGCTAGCTGACTTAACAGGCGTCACAGGTTGAGGCAAAGGTGACTTTGGCGGTGGGGGACTGGAAGCTACCAAAAACAACAAATATTGTAACTCACAACCAACTAATAGGTTTAAAAAGAAACGTGAGTTGAAGGATGTTAATACTGTTATAAACAAATTAATTCTGCCTCTTCAAACTCTTAACAAATAAAGCCTGAACCCCAATAGAAAATTGGTCATTGATAAAGGATAATTTTCCTAGAGCCCAGACAATGTTTGACTGGGCAATTTTCCCTCATCTGTTATCAGGAGGGGCACTTCTAAAGAGGTGAGGGGAAGAGTAGAGTCTATACATTGTACTTCCATGACTTTGCCCTCTAAACCTCAAACCAGGCATTACCCCTGACTCCCACAGGGGGCTCCCAGAATCCTTGCCTGACACACCCCCTCTGTACTGAATTATATCATTTCAACATCCTGAATCCTTCAACTTTGAGTGTATCATGAGCTCAGTAGTTGCCAGGAAGCTTAACATACAAATTCCTTCCTCATGAAGGCAATCAAGATGCACAATGAAGAATCAAAAGCTACCTCTACCAGTGAAGGCTGCAATATTGCCACAGATTTACCTTTTTGCACTTCAAGGAAACTTACTCATATCAAAATGTCCACCCGAGCAAAAAAAAGTCGAACTTAATTCAAAGGTGTAATAGAACTCAGGCAGAGAAATAAAACTTGCATCAAAATATCCCCTTGAGAAGTGAATACTGCTAACTGTTTCACTGGTGCAATAGAGTTGTTAATAGCAACTCTCTAAGTGTACTGGTACAGCTACTCTATCTCAATATGCTACAATATGTTTATGCAACAAGCTTACCAGAGGGGGGAGGTGGTGGGGCACTTCTTTTGGGTTTCACAGGCCCATTCTGTAACCCCCCTAATGCCCCACTTTGATTGCTGACAGGACTTACAGGACTCAAAGGTGCATTTTTAGGTGGATTTTCTGAGCTCCTAGGCTCCACAATGTCCTTCAGAGGGGGTGGGGGAGAGGCAGGACTTGTCAGAGCCTGATTTGGTTTTGTAAATGATGGCCGTCTTTCAAGAGGGGGTGGGTCTGAAGGTGGGTTGGTGGGAAGAGGTGATATTGAAACTAAAACAAAAAGAAAAAAAAAATCAACAAATGTTACTGCAAATGTAAGTGAACCTTAATCTGTGAGCTGTAAACAAAGAGTAACATGGCGAAAAACAAAATTAAATATAAATAAAACAAGAGAACAAAATAACAAAATAATTTTAACTTATGGTATCATGTTAGATTTTTTATTTCAAGTTACCGGTATGTAGCATGTTAAGCTGTTGGTACCATTGTAGTTAATCCCTGACACAATTCAAACATGGTTATCATGCTCTTTTTGCTTAAAAATACTTTAGTGTTCCTTTATGCTATTTTGTGGAACATTACTTCTTAACATAAAATGAACATATCTTAAACTTAATATTCAAAATTTAGAAAATGATGAACAAAATAAATGTAGAAATTTGACTCACCACACAAGAACTGAAACTGGTTGGGAAAGGTAAAAATTTCAATCAAAATACCCCTAATTCATGGGTCACAGGTAGGGGAACTCTAGGGCCTCTAGTAATTAAAATTTTTTTTAAAAGATTTGAACAGCACCATTCATGATCACAGCTACCCCCACCTCAAGGGTTCTTTTCACCACACTTAATGTAGTTGTGGGAATTGGCTGTCCACTTCTCTCCAGACCGCCTACTTGTCCAAGCACAACTTTCTTTTTGGATTGTTTCATCACAGCAAATTAACTTTGACAATTTTTTTAATGAAACCCAACCCAGTATGCTGTTTGTAGTAAATTGTAATTTTATGAAAGAATTGTTAATTTTAATTCCTGAACAACAACATTTATGCAACAAGTGTGATATAATTTTGGCCACTCAAACTATGTTCAACATAAATACAAATCAACATTATTTAGTTATTAGGATGATGGAAGAAAAAACAAAGTCCACAAGAAAAGAAGAAATATAGAAAGACGAAGAAATAAAGTAAGGAAAAAATTATGAACTGATTCAGATTTTACGTGATAAGTGTTAATTTTTAACAAAGAAAGTATGATCATACAATGCACATGTCACAGAGAAAGCCATGCTGTATAAATATTTAACATTACAAAATATTGTTCACATGTCTGGAATTATTGGGAATCAAACTGAAGCCATATTCATTAAAAATACTTCTGCTTGTCCTAAAGAACACAAAAAGGTTTATTAAAGGTGTGTCAAAGGTTGCATAAGCTGGAAATTTTGTGAAGTAATGATGGTGAATATAAATCATGAGATATAACAAAGTGATCTTTCTCATGCTTAGCTCATAAACTATCAAGATCGTAGTAGTAGTAGTCTCTTGCATCATCCAGATGTTTGAATATTTGACAGCTTTTTGCTCACCTGATCAATTTGTCTGGGAACTTGATAAAAGCATAATTATCTGTGATAAGGAGTTCTAACAAAGATGGCTTTGTTATCACACCCTTCAACTATATCAAGCTCTCTCTCATCAAGTGTCCTAGACATGGCATATGCTATTTCATGAAACTTTACAATTTCCAGGTGTTAAGCAAATAAACAAATACCCAAATGTAGATACATCTGGATGAAAAGGGTGACAAGTCTTAGATAACCTTGGAAAATAATATGTATACTGTCTGAGATAACAACATGACAAGGCCTGATTCAACTGATAACTGATTAATTAAGCATCAAAAGTCACCCCCTCAGGGAATTTGCACTAATAAAGAATAAATGGAATTAATCAGAAATTTATGAAACCAAAAAGGGCTACAATTTATCTCTGAGCCTGGAAAAATCCTTTGTATTGAGAAAAACATATCACATTAATTAAATGGCTCACGTAATTCATCCGGTTGATTGAAAAATCTTGCTGACAAATAACTAGGACTCTTTCTTACCTTTTAAATGCTAAATGCAGGTTTTATTTGGTGCTGTTTACACAGTCTCAAGCTACCTGAACATGTGTTGTATCAATCACAGCAGAGGCAGAGCTTGAAATTATATGATTAAATTTCTGAAAACTTTTCAGCTTTTAATGGAAAACATTAAAAAATAATTTTATCAGTCTCAAGATGCACGAACATGTGTTGTATTAACTGAGGTAGAGGTAGAAATTAAGATGAATGATCTAATTTCTGAAAACTTTTATGCTTTAAGCACAAAAGGTTTTATTCTGGCTGTTTACTCTGTCTCAAACCACATGGACATGTGTTGCAACATCAATCACAGTAGAGGTGGAGTTGAAAATTGTGTGTTCAAATTAATTTTCTGAAAATGTTTGAGATCATAAATCATTTGAATGTTGATGTAAGGGACAAAATATAATCTTTCAAATTCATTTTTTTAAAAATGGATGTCTGCAGAAATTTCAATACACAAAAGTAAAGCATAAGTGTTCCACATGGAACACTTACTGCATGGAATAATTAACAACTCTACGAGATGTTTTTCAATGAATCACTGAGGTTTTGGTTTTTACAACAAATTTGAGATAAGAAATTTGTCTTGGAAAAGTTTCGTCCTGAACTGGATAATCATAGCCTTGAATTTATAACTCTTTCATAACTACTGTCTCAGTTAGAGAGCATGCCGGCTCCAAACTGAAATACTGCATATTCTTCCTCATAAAACTAGAGTGAATTTGGATGAGTTATATGAAAGAACTCACAGATAGTTGAATAGCTAAATGTGTATGTTAAATCAAATCAGAGTAACTTGATTGTTACTTTTGTTCCAGTTATTTATATTAGCACAATTTTTACACATGAAATATAAATCAAACCAGGATGAATCAATTTTAACCTGAAATTCACTGTAAACCTCATCACATACACAAGAATTTCAAGCAATTTTTGGCATTAAAAGAGGTACTACAGGTGGTAAATTATACTGATTACTGCCTGAAAAGGAGAATACCATCCAAGAAGTGTTGAGTTAGTGCAGTAGATGGTAATTCAACTAATATGAATGACCTTGCACTAACCAGATCAAGAAAACAGTTCATATCTATTCCAAATCAAGTGCCTTCTTGTTTGGCATATGGCATAAAATCACAAAACTTACCAACTGGTGGAGTCATTGTAACCACTTTTTGCTCTTTGCTGTCCACCTTGACAACTGTGTCATTAAGAATTCTTGATGTGCGGGGGGCAGGCTTAGGTAAGGTGCCAAATTGAGATGGTATTCTAGAACGAGGTCTTGGTGCTGGAGCCCTTCGTACAGCTGAGCTCTTGTCCATTGCACTGCCAGAAGCTTTACTGAGTGAAGAGTTTAGAGAAGCACTTGCCTTGGAAATAGGTTTTTTATCCTTTTCATTTTTCAAAGCTTGTTCTGGGCTAGTTGCAACTTCCTCACTGGGTTCCAGGTAAATGTGATTCAATTCCTCAGCTCTATCTTTCTTTAAATCTTTTTCTTTTGGGGGTAGGGGTGGTGCATCATTTTGGGTCTCTGTTGTAGGAACAGCAACACCAGCACTTATGTCAACCACTTTATATGGTTTTGTAAATGGTTTCAATGTTGTATTTACATAAAAAGGTCCCGTTTTGCTACTTTGGAGTTTTTCTTTTGCTATGGACTGTCCATTTACTGCCACTTTGGGGGATGCCACCAAATGAGGTTTGTCATTTCTGGTGTTCAAATTTCCAAGGGAATTTTTAGCAGCCACAGCTTCACCACTGTTTTCGTGAAAATCTGATGTACTACAACTGTCCCAAGTGCTGCTTCCCCAAGAACTACTTGAGGTTCCACTAGACTCGATAACACAATAGCCATCGCTTGTAGTAGGAGTGATAGTAACTGAAATATCTGCCAAGCCTACTTCTTGTTCTACAAGAACCGACCCATTGCCCGAGGCATTGTTTAAAGAATTACCCCTGTTCGACTTTCGAGTGTTTTCATAACCCGAATCTTGACTGCTGGACACGGCACTTTCACTGCTTGAGCTTGATGGTCTATTTACGTAATTTGGCTCTGTGATACTAGAAGATTTACAAATAATCTTTTTAGGATTATCGTGATTATTATTCATTTTGTCAGACTCACCAGTGTCTAGATCAGTAGTTCTAGTGTCGCTGATCTTGTTTGTGATCATGCACAACGGATTACGAAATTCTAAAACACAAGACGACGATTGTTCGTCGATTTGTGAGCCACATGCAACTTTCATTCGATTTTCGCTAATCGCCATTTGTTTCGAGTCACTGTCGCTTTCGCAGTTTGGTTTCAAAACATCTGTCTCACGAACTACTTCATGTAGAGGATCAGATTCAACACCAAACAAGTCTATATTGCTTTTCATCGGTACATATTCGTCGCTTGAATCGTCGTTTTCGATCGCATTTGTAGACAACGGATCGGCTGCTTCGGTTTCGGTTGAACAATCGATGGAAATATTAGCTGGTAAAGTCAGAAGGTCACTTTTGTTCACATTTGAAAATTCCGCATCATTCTTCGGCTCCCCCAATTCAACTGCACCTACTTCATTTTCTATTGTCTCGCTGTTTGTTTCGGTGTCAGATCTGTTTTCCAGCTCCGATTTTTCACCGTGATCCAATATTGAAGATCCACTCTCGAAGGGAATTTCTGAGGAGGTTGCGTTACATGGTTGGGCATGGGAATTCCCAAGAGAATTCTCGAACGATGTGAGACCGTTTAACACATCTGCCGATTCTTGTGGGTTTTCATCGCGACTTACAGCGCCACAACTAAATTCCACTGCTCGAGAAGCCGGTCGTGGTTTTGGTCTTGGTACTGGCCTAGGTTTAAGAACTGTAGATGATTTGAAATCCTGTGCCTTTTTACTAAAATCAGTCACAGTGCTACTACAATCTTTGCTGGCTCCAATGGCGTGAATTGTGCAAGGTGTAATGGATTTATTAATGCTCTTCTCACCATTTCCTTTATCAATTCCCTCCTTTCCTCGTTCCTGTTTAAATAGATTATCCGTATTTTCAACACTACATGCTTCGAAATTCTGATTTTTAGGGCTTTGTGGAGGAATCACCACTCGTTTTGGTTTGCAGTTTGCGGTACCACTACCGGTAAAAGTGGCGTCTTCGTGTTTGTTGACAGCGTTTTGATGTTTGTCGCGAGACTGAAAGCAGTTCGCGCACTTCCCCTTTCTCCAAAGCTGTTCCACAAAATTATCACAGCTAGACATTTCTAGGTAGCTTTCTCGTTGGGTTCGACCATCTTCGGGTCCATTTATACCGAATACAACACAGTTTAAATATCAGAAAGGCGACATTTAAATACACGAAACACCATACGAGACCTCTGACAGCAGGGAAACACAAAGAACCTCCACATGTCAACAGCCAAGAAGACTGGGCTCCAAAAAAGGGAGGGTCTACTTCCGGTGAAACAAACATTTGCCAAGCTAGACCTCGAAAGGAAATCACTTACTTTGTAAAGAATGATTAACGCATAAAATGCTATGGATACTGGGCATGATCTTCAAATTTTTTGCGTTCGAAGCTCTTATACGTAGGTTTGTCAATTTCAAACAAAGCTGTCCATAATTCTGAGCGCACACTCGTCGACAAAGATGAACTCAAACCCATATTTGCAATTGACCTTTCCGGTTTATGTTATTCTTTAGATTGCTGAAGAAAGGATCGAATGAGAGAACTTCCGATCGTCTAAAAATATTTTAAATTTTTAAGCTGATATTTTTAAACAACCGTTTACTCTAAGTTTATTTACAATTCCAAAGAAGCGTTCAAAATTAATATCGAGAAAGTAATTGCTGGATCCTTCTCATTTATGATCGCTGTTCGGAAAATATTTTCAATTGCTATTTCCATTATCTCTGACAGGGAGACAAACTCTAAGTCAGTTTAATTTGTTTTTCGCATCACACGGTTTCAAAACATCCGAGGTCAGGATTGGGGAGAACGTCAGTCAGACTAATGGAATTTAGAGTCAAAATATTTCGGATCCCGTGACGCAGGAAACCACGCAAGTAAACCAGAGATTGAAGAAAAGACAACATTGAAGTCCTTTAAAGATGGATTCTTGGAATGATGTCGAAAATACTGATAAAGGTTCATAAATTCCTAGTCGCTTCAAACTTTGGCAGCGGAAAAGAGGTGGTTTACGAGCCAGGGCGAAACTGTTTCCTTTTAGGTCTTGTTGAATTTTTGAGTCAATTATCTAAAAACAATCATAAAACAACCTCCTTTGGAAAACTACTTCCGATGATGATTACTGCCTTGAGTACGACCCAATCTAATTTAATTGCTAAAAAGACTTGAAAGCAAAGGCGGACAAAATTAGTTTATCAAAGAAAATGTCGCGAACTTGGTCGGCTGAAATGTTGTGTCGATCCCGTAGCTTTCTCGAGCTATTGTGTTGGATCCAAATATTACTCTTTGATCCTACAGGTAGATTGTGTCTCAATGAGAGTGAAGGGGCCAGAGAAAAAGTGAGAAAGGTGGAAGAACGCCTCGGGAGCTTTTCTGATAGACTGACGCTTTCGATATTGTTGTTTTGCATTAGAAATGAACCGATTTCAAGTTTAAGACTTGCCCCGGATAACGTTATGAAACCAGGTTTGAAAACCTATTTTCCTGATCAAGAAACGAAAGCTTTCCGCTTTCCTCGTTCCTTAACAAATTGTTAGTGGTAGAATTGATGTGCGGTATGGAACGACAAGTACTTATATGAGTCAAGAAAGTTAGCTAAAATAGAAGGAAGATGGTTCTGTGTGGTTAAGCATCTGTTAGTGATCAGTGTGTTTTTCCAATTATCAGGTACGGGCGTCGGTGCGATCGGCTACTAACTGCCACGAAAGTCCAAAGATTATGCCTCCGAAATCTCTAGATAGCGATTCCGCGCAAGCGCCTAAGGTCTCACGTGCCAGTGATGACAAAGGCCCTTTTAATTGCCGTTAGGAAATTGTCAATTTCCTTACAAGCATTTACCTGCTTTCCTTGCAGGGCAATATATAGCAGTGCGCATGCGTCAAGTCAAGATGGGATAACAGCCTCTTAGAGAGGCTAATTTTTTGATGATACACATCATTGCTCCGTTTCTGATCACGTGATAATCCAAAGAGAGAGGACTAATTTGTCCATACAGAATAACAGTTTTAAGACAGAGGAAAATGAAACTGATTAATTTTCAAATTAGTATCTCATTTCGTTTCATTTGAAGAGAATTCATCCTCATATAAACCCTTAGTAGAATCTTATTTTGTTTATTGTGGAGTTATTTCAGGGAAAAACTGTTAAAATCCCTTGCCTCACCCATGTCGTGACCCTCTCATTTTGATACCAACACTGACAATCTTTTTAGATCTTCGGGTGGAAAAAACTAGAGACGTAACTGAAATTGAAAAAGCGGCTCAGGAAAACGGATACTTTTTTTCCCTAGTTTGGCCTTTTGTCCTCCGTTTCCGGTTAAAAGAGTCACTGAAAACGCATCTTTTCGATAACACTCTTCTGAGCGGAGATTTTAAAAAAAAATACACCGTTTTGCCGTGCTGGTGTCGACGGATGAAAATGGAGTTTTTTGACAACGATTTAGTCACGGTGTTGGATCATCAACGAGAACAACATGGCGGACAGAAGCCTTGCATTCAGGTTTTACTGTCACTTGAGCTTCGTGCCAGCGATATGGCATGTTTTCAGTTGATGTATCACTTTTCTCATGCTTAATGATCTTTCAACTGTGGATGAATTAAGTTATCGATTGATTTACCAGTTGATTGACGTGCTTGAAATTGGGCTCGTAACAGTTACTTTTACCATTCCAAGAGTCATGATATTTCACCGAGATGTTTCAGTTTTAATCAGTTACCGTCCAAAGACCATCGTATTAGTAAACCGTAGCCTGTATGGCTGTATTTCTTTAAGAGAAGCAGCATGAGCAGGCATGGGTCTCGCAAAGCCTTAGACAAATTGTTTTTATAACATTCTTTCGCAGTATGCTATCGCGTGACTCCATACTCGCAGTATGCTATCGCGTGACTCCATACTCGCAGTATGCTATCGCGTGACTCCATACTCGCAGTATGCTATCGCGTGACTCCGGCTCGGCTCACACTACTTCCGCTAATCTAAACTTTGAGGGAGAAGGCTGCAGGTCAGGCTGGGGAAATGGTGGCTGCATTACATAACAGCTTAATTTAAGCTTTTTAAGATTAATTTAAAGGAATACATAATTACTTCAGTTTTAAATAATCTTGAGTCTTGTGGAGAATTAAGGATAACATTAATGCGATTAATAATGGAATGAAACCATGAAATAATCATTTTGTTTACGGGCACAAAAACAGCTACGCAAAAGAATAAACTAGAAGGTACGAAAGAGGTTAATTAAGGAGACAAGAAGCGGTAATCTGAGAGAAACACGATTGGGCAAAGAACGGATTTTAAACATTTAGGGTAAATTTACCAATAAAGTACATTAAGTTTCACCGAGGTCTGCTAAGTAATATAGACGATTTAGTTACGCGAGAAAGAAAATTACCGCTCTTTAAATAGTACGTAATATTGGTTTCTTGACATCAATACGGCTATTCTTGTGCCCCCAGCTGGTTCTTTACCTTTTGTATGCATTGCTTGCTAATGGATTGTTGATTTCTATACATAATTATCATACGACTCATAATTGGTCCAGCGGGTATAAGGAGCTTCTTGCTTCCACACGCGTGTTGATCGAGTTGAGGCGCAGCTATTACCGATCGAAGTGTTTTGCACAGACAGATCCAGACTCTGCTCATTTGATAAACCTTACGTGCCACTATGACTGAAGGTAATTAACGTCAACGTTGTAGAAACGCAATTTTTTAAAGGTCTTTTCTTTTGCTTAAATCGATCAAAGGGCCTTGTAGAATACATCTATACCGGATTTGAACATCACATTTCCCCCACGTGGCTGAACCAAACGTGCCCACAGAGTCAACCGACGATGGGTTTAGTGCAGATTAAGGAAAACAATCAGTGAAGACCAAAAGCAGGCAGTTCCGAATGCTAAGCCGCTGAAGGTTGAATCTTGGAGTAATTCCGACATTGCTTCTCTCCTTTCATCGCTTTTCAAAGCGGTAGTGTTCCTCCGTCGGGAACCCTAATATAACCACGCTCTTGTCAGTACACTAAAGCTGAGTATGAAAGCAATGCTTTTATTTATTGAAATAACTTAAGTTCTTACCTGTAGATTGTTGTGTAAGGAAAAAATGGTCAGCAGCATAATTATAGTTCAATTAACAGTCTACGGATCGTTCGCGAACATATGAATATCAAGCTTCAGTAACTGCAAAAGACCGTAAATTGCTTTTTTTTTGCTCAATTTGCGAATACAAATTTTTCGTAAACAACTTGGTAGTAAATCGCCGCAGTACTAGCCGTTGTTCAAGAAATAGATCGAAAAGGGAAGCAAAGGGCTTTCGAAATAATAGTTTAACCTTTAACATGAAACGCTGTCAGATTACATAACATCGTACAGTGATGGTTTTGAACCATGCATTTCAATATACAAGAATTTGAACGCAATACAATTATAGAATCGACAGTCTATTACCATAATATGCTTGAATGCACGTAAATTTTGTAAAGAAATGAAAGCGGAATTGCGAATCTGACCAAAAACTGTGTAACAGTAGAAACAGAGAGATGCATTACACTGTTTTTTTTTTCAAAGGACAAGGGAAAAAACAATAGGTCAACTAAATTAAATAATCTATGTTTAAAATACCGCGTATACGTGATATAATTTTAACATCGGAAATAGGCTTAGGAGAATAAGCCTGCAAGACTCTGTTGTGTATTCTCTGACAGCACTCCTACCCTCACTTCAATGTTCGATATTTCCTTGTGCTCTATGGAATCTATAGTGGCCTCTACAGGAGGCTGAGTTTCGAGACTTGAGAGATTGGAGAGATTTGAGAGATTGGAGAGATTAGGACTGGGGAGAGGGTGAGGGCTGATCCTCCCACCCGTCACCAAACCGTCCTCGTATACACTGTTGTATTTTTTTAATCTACAGATACCTGTAAATGTGGTCCAGGATATGCCACCCCTCAGGACGCCATGAAGGGCCCTAGGGAGAAATTATTGTATTTACCGTGCATTCTGAGTAACACGGGGATACAAAAACCGGATTATCTTGCCACTGTTGATGCAGATCCAGATTCTCCTAATTACAGTCAGGTAAGTGTCACGAAGCCCAGGAGAAGATTCCTGTTTACTACTAAGAACACTTTAATTATTAGTCGGCGACATAACCGTTTACAGTGGTATCTTAAACTACTGAAAACCTTACTAAATCTTAACATCTCGAGCCTTATTTATGGTAGTCATACGCCCTACCGTTTTCTAACACACTGTTTTTAGCAGTAAGAACATTCAAGACGCTCATGATGAGATATCCTTAAAATGACAACAGAATGTACCGGAATAAGGAGAAATTACAAGCACACCTTATACTGAAATACCGGCGGTGGGGACGTAGTAATTCCGTGTTCTAAATTGTTCTCTCGATTTCTGGAAACTTCGTTACAATAAGTAAATACAAGAAGTCGATCACTCCACCATAAAATTAGAAGTTCCTGTCCTCTACTCAATATCTTCTCTTCTTCTTCTTCTTCTTACTGAAAGTTTCTTGCTTTGACTCAGGGACCTCAAGGAGAGTACATAACAGAAGGCGAACGCTTCCTACAGCTTGGCTTTAAGGTCGACTCCTGTACAAACTATAGTGTCTAATTTGGTTTGAGTTTGTCTCTCCTTCCTTACCTTACTCTTAGCCTAGTTTTTCTCTTAGCCTTGCAACGCAATTGAGAAGGGCTAAAAAACAGCTTAAAACTAAGGATTAATATAGACTGGAGAAGAGAAAATGCCGGGGAGTAAAAATGATTAGAAAGTTATTTTATTTTTCAATTAATTTGTAATTTTTGTGATAGGTTATTCATCGCCTGAAAGTTCCTTATATAGGAGATGAGTTGCATCACAGTGGTTGGAATGCTTGCAGCAGGTCAGCGGTCTTAAGGAGAAACTAAGGCCTTCATTCTGATTGCGTCTTGAAGGATAAATTATGAACACTGAGTGTAGCGATTATGATCATTGCTTCTCTGCCCCAATTGCATTTAAACGAGAGGTGCCTTACAAATCTACGAGCCACACCACGTCTCGATAACTTGGAAAGTTATCAGTTGGATCCAATTTTTATCTCAGTTTTGAGCTACTTCTAATAGATTGCCCATAATTATGTTCTGCCGGCGCGCTCAGGAGTGCATGCATTAATTCTGTCTTAAAGAGACCTTTGCAACAGTCATCTCGACAGTTTTTTGCATGAACTCCGGGGTTTCAGTATCTTTTGCCATAAGTGGTTATTGATGGTATTATAGGTAGTTGTGCCGTCTAGCGAAATCCATACGCGAGAGCCCGCTTGCCGGCGAAACAAATGCAACTTCGTTCCCAGGGTCTCTCATCTCCCCCCTCCCCCCCTC